GTAATCACTTTGAATTGATTCAGAATTATCAACACATTCTGTATATAAAATTCGCGAACTACTTTAAAGAGAGACGCCACTGACGAATCAAAAAAATTGATTTTTTTATTTTACCGGAAAAAGTAACTCTTTAACAATATATTTCTAAAATTTTAAGTTAATCTGAGCAAAAATAACGAAATTATCAAATATTTTCAAGAGCACGTCAGGTTGCTTAAGCGCACCGCTTGGGCAAACAGCTCGGTAAATGAAACAACATGACTGTTCATGATCGTACACGAATTTGAAATAAAATGTTTTTATCTACGCCGATTTATACAACTTAAAAAAATAATAAGGAGAGGAATTACACTTTCATTTGGAAAATTATTTAAAAAATTTCATTTTGTGGTGCTATAATCGAATTGTCACATTACCGCCTGCATCATAACAATGGAGTTTGCTAAAAATCATGGATATCTTAAATATTAATGTTAAATTTAACGTTTTTGAAACTGGACGAAAAACGAGAATCACGAATCGAAATTTTGATACTACTTTGACATTTTTAAAAATAGTTTGCACCTATTTAAATACTCTATGAACTAAAGAAAAAAACCTACGTTGATGATATTACACTTATTAACTTTTCTTTTAAACCTTTAATTTTATAGATTTTATTTCAATGCTACTGTGAAGCTATAAATGTTCTTCAAATTTTGATGACTACTTTGACACTTAAATATTCCACAGTTAATGAAAAGTTATTTCGATGATATTATAATTCTTAACTTCTCTTATAAATGTTTAATTCTACAGATTCTACAGAATTAATTTTAATATTCCTTTTGAGTGAAATTATGAATGCTTCCAAATTTTTGATGCTCTAACACTCAGATGCTCTATAATTAGAAAAAACCTACTTTGATGAAATTATATTTATCAACTCCTCTTTTAAATCTTGAATTTTACAATACATTTTAATGATATTTTAAAGATGCGAATATTTTTAATATTTTGCAAACTATTGAGAAAAATTATTTTTAAATTAAATTTAAAATTGAAATGATTAATTTACTTAAATGTATAGAAATATATAGATAAATGTATATCTGAAACATGTATATTAAATTAATAATATAAAATATACATGCTATATATATATATATATATATATATATATATATATATATAG